CATTTATTCACTTTAATTTAAGGTTTTGCGTGCCAGGAATACATTTTAACGTTTTTAGAAGGTATCTTTCTATAAGTCCATAATATATAACTAAACTATTGTTGTATGTAAAATAAATAAGGTTTTTAAAATGTTTAAGAAGCTTCATTTAAAATTAAATTAAAATGCAGAGCTCCTCGGACCGGTGGCCAGGACCCGGGCAGTGTGAGTGCCACAGAAAATCAGCTCGCGTGCCATAGGTTGCCTACCTAGGGTGACCAGACGTTCCGATAAAATTGGGACTGTCCCGATATTTAGGCGTTTGTCCTGTGTCCTGACCGATGTTTGGTCAGGACGCAATTTGTCCCAATTTTTTTTTTTCTTCCGCCGGTGGGACTCTTTCCCCCCCAGGTGTCCTGATATTTTCTTCATCCCATCTGGTCATCTTATGCCTACCCCGGGCTAGACCATGTATTTTTGTTTGTTTGTTTTTTAATATGCTCTGTTTTGATTTCACAGATATTTGGGCCAGTTATGCAGCTCTTGAAGTTCAAAACCATTGAGGAAGTCATTGAGAGAGCAAATAACTCCAAGTATGGTCTGGCAGCAGCAGTCTTCACGAAAGATCTTGACAAAGCAAACTACGTGTCCCAGGCATTGCGGGCTGGAACTGTCTGGTAAGAGTCTTCTACACACAGGATCTCTATTGCCAAATCCTTCCCCTGAGTTTTTTTTTTTAAAGCTGTGGCTTTCTCATTCAAGCTGCCTCCTTCATTAAATGTATAAACTGTGTTTTATTACACACCTCGGTGCAGGTACAAAACTAAAAACCAAACCAAATGTCAAAAGTCTCAAACACTAATAAAATCCCCAACCTTCCTCTGGCAAAATCTGTGCAAACAGATGAGCCTTGAAGAGTAGACGGAGGCTTGGTGGGTGGGATGGAAGAACAGGATTAGGTCAGAAGATACAAGGGCGGGGCGGGACCTTGCCAACTCCCAGCCCTCTACCACTTGAATTTAGAAGCTGTTAGGTAAGCAGAGCGGTTTGTGCTGTCTTGGCTGCTGCAGCACAATACAAAAAGAGCGGTGTGGCTAAGGTAGTCAGGGCTTTTAGTTTAAAAGTCAAAACATCTTGAACTGTACTGTAGAAACAAACTGGAATCTAGTGAAAATTCTGGAACACCAGCATCTCGCTTTCCCTTCTAGAAATGGCATGGAGTAAGCAGGTAGTCAGTATTTAAAGGTGGCCAGATAGGGGCAGCCTCAATGCTTGGTGTGCTGACAGGAGACCTGAAGTGAATACCTGACCCTGTCTTGATGTCTGGGTCAGTGGGGATGAGGTTAGTACTCAACCAGCAGAGGAGTGATCGTTGTACCTTATTTCCACCCCCCGCCCCTTCCCCAGACACACACCCTTCCCGCCTGACTCTCTGATGGATGCTGAATTGTGCCTCCTCTGGATCTGCTTGACCAAAAGGGTGGTATGTGGGAGAGAATCTTTGTAGATGTGGACTACTTGCTGTAACTGAATCTGAGGAAATGTTCATCTCTTAATCATGGAGACTTTCATGGAAAGGCCTTGGTACTGTAGATGCTCTGGAGCGACAAACTGCTTCTAAGGTTTGATTTCCATTCCAGGATAAACTGTTATGATGTGTTTGGAGCTCAGGCCCCATTTGGTGGGTACAAAGCATCTGGAAATGGGCGAGAGTTGGGGGAATATGGCCTGGAGGCATATACAGAAGTGAAAACTGTGAGTATCAAAGCGCGCCAGAGGAAAACACTAGAGGTCTGGGCTTTGTACCTTTTGACACAAGCCTGCCAGAAGAATGAAGTTGGCCCTCAGCATTCAGTGTCACGAACCATCCTCTTTTCATTTATCACTTTGTTTTAATTCTTGTAGCTCTGAATTTTATGCTTCTAAAATAACACAACATGTGGCACTTGCTTAGCATGTTTCATTAGAGAATGCCCGAGCACTTCACAAATGGTAAATAAACTTCACATACCTCTGTGAGGTAGGACAGCTAACCTCTGCCTCAGGTTTCCTCACCTGTAAAATGAGGATGCGTGACTTGCTCAAAATCTCAGTGAGGCAGTGGTAGAACTGAGGCATCCTGGGTTCTATTCTAACTTCCAGTTTATTGCCCCACTGAACACTATCTTCAAGAAACCTCTTAGAATCCCCTTGTTTTAAGTGCATTTGATTTGTAAAGAATGAGTGGGCTAGTAATGAACTCATTTGGGAAAGAAATTAAGCCTGCATTTCTGAAGAACATGTGCTGCCTAGAAACTTGAATATCAGCCACTTAATAGTTGGAGTGTAGTTTGTTCTTGGAATGGGAGACCTCCAAGTGCTGACTATTTAAGTGCCACTCTTCCATCCAAATCAAGATTGAATCCATGCCTTCACATGTGTGATATTAGAAGAAAGGAAACTACTAAACTGAAAGTCCAGAAAAGTGAGCTCTGTTGAACTGTAAAATTGTGGTAAAAACCCACCACATGGTGCACTTAAAACTAGAGTATAGAGGATGAGTTAACCACAGGGAATAATCAGTAACAGGGATGACCTAATGTCTCTTCCAGTTCTAATTTCTGTGGTATTTATACTTGAGTAATGGGAAGGGAACAAAGTGAATCTTATAAATAACACTTCAAATATAGGAAACTAACCCATATTATTCTTTCTAGGTAACAATAAAAGTTCCACAGAAGAACTCTTAAGGAACATGCTAGTTGCTCCATGCATCTGAACCCTTCTATGGAATTGAAGTTTAATGGGATAAGAACATGGGGAAACCCTTCTTAAAGCAAGCAAAACCTGAAGTCCATAAGTGCAAAGTACATGTAACTTTTTTTAACGTTTCTAAAGATTTTTGTTTTGTTTTGTTTAAAGTGCCTGAGGCAATTTCTTGTTTTCTGCTTGCCTGAAACTTCATTTAGCTTTAACTTTTTTTATACCAAACATAATTCTCTGTGCACTAGCGTTACACATATTTGGGTAACCTTGTTTGCATTTGTCTGAAGAATCTAATGTGCTCTTTTGAAATCATTTGAGTGCTTTATGAAAATACCAGTACTAGAGACTACCAATTAATTGCTTATAATTGGCTTGATATTTTTTTTTTGAGGAATAAATCTATTTGCCTGATTTATGAGAGTACTTGCCACTGACATGCATGAGCAGAATTTGGCCCTCTAACCTAGCAGCAGAGATCAGAAAGATACTGTGTTACACAAACTATAGCTACTCTGAATGTATGACTTTTTTGATAATCTGAATTACTCTGAATCTAGGTAAACTCTAAGCTTTTTCTTTCCTACCCTGTCATCTGTGAAATATCTTCTTGTACTATTTGCCCTTTCATAATAAACATACTGGTGTTTAACCTGCCAGACTATGGGAAAGTTAATCCTTTATTTTGGTTGAGTTTAGGGATTGTTATATTCCAAAACTGTTAACCCAAATTAAAGTGCATGCAGAAGCTAATGTTTTCATACACATCAGATACTGAACAAGTACTACCAATTTTGATACTAATTTCAGGAATTATGCCTTGGATAAAGTCTATGAAAAACAAAGCTAGCTTCAGAAAAAACAGTCTACCACCTTTAATGTTCAGCTTCAGTTTTGTGCAAAAAAAGCTGAAGAATTCAGAGTTCCCTAGCAGCAATATTACCTTTACTTTGTATGGGTAACATATCCCTATCCTTGCATTAATCGGTGCTCTAAAAGAGAAAAACTAAAGAATTTCATTACCCAGATAATCTTCTCTGCCCCCAGAAAAAAGCGAATACTTCAAACTGGATGTAACAATATAACCTCTGTGATGTAGCTTCTTACCTGAGCCAAATGGATGAGATTTGTTTTCCCTTTTAAAATGGCTGGGGGGGAGGAGACACTGCAGGTGAATGGCATTAGGTTGCCCTCTATAGGACACTAAACTTTTCCATTACCGTGGAAGTTTACACCTATGCCTTTAACCCCAATAGCTGTTGCTGTTTAACTGAAGCTTATTCTCAGTAGACTATAGATGCACTTTTCCCCCCTTTCACCGAGGGTACCTGCGTGCCAATTACGCTTTTGGCTTTGGATGATGTGGCCATGTTTACACTAGACACCATTTGTTTGCCCACATTACCAGTCTCAGTAGTAACTGCTGACACATGCTGCAGTGTTGGAAGGGCCCGAGCCCAAGGCCCCTGCAGCGAGCTCAGGTTTTTCAGCAGCTGCCAGGGTGCAGAACCCCGGTCGCTACCAGAAGGTGACAGGGCACAAATAACGTCACCACGGCCAGGCTTTCGCCCGGGGAAAGGGCTCCGGGCTTCAGGAACCGCCAGGCCCCCGTTAGCCTCGGCGCTGAGCGCCCCACGCCGCCGCAGCGAGCGAGGCACTTTCCCCCCTGGGCACAGGGAAGCGCGGCCTGGCCTCTCCGCTGGGCTGGGGCAGAGCCGGGACCCGGGTCTCTCCAGTTCACGTCCCCGGCGCCCTACCTCAGCGCGGGACTTCACTGAACAAGGCCCCGGCCCCGCCAGTCCCCCCCGTGCTACCCTCCAACGACACAGGCTCGGGGAGTCTCGCCTCCGCCCCTCGGGCCTCACACGGAGCGGGCCGAGCCCCAGGGAGCCGGCTACGGCCCCACCCCCACAGCCGAGCCGTCACGGCGGCTACAGGCCCGTAAGCTGACACCGCCTCCCTCCCGACGCGGCCCCAGCGCAAAATGGCGCTTCAGACTAGGCTCGGCCCGGCCCGAATTTCATTGACCGGAAATCTCGCGAGATCTCGGGCGGGACTGTCCCGCTATGACCCATCTCGCTGGTGCAGGCTCTTTCGGGACATTTTCGCGCAGTGGGCGGGTCCTAGCTGGCTCTAGGGCGGAGCTACGGAGGGGGGGGCGGATCTGGTTTCTCGCTCCGCCCCTTCCCCCTCTTGTTTGGCCTAATCTGCCCCATATCTCTTACGTCATCAGTGAGCGCCTCAAAGGTCGAAGGCCCTCTAAGGGGTCCTTGGTAGCGGCGGCGTCTTCTTAGAGGGGGAATGCGGGCGCCTGTTGATTATATAATCGCCGCGGAGGTGGCTTCTAAAATCCTCCTAGTGGCGTGGGGAGTTAGCGGCGGGTGCGGGCCCCCGAGCTGCGTTAAAGCGGGTACCGCACCGGGTGACTCCGTGCGTTGCGCAGCCCGGCGGGGCTGTCCCGCACCAGGACCCCGGCAATGTCTGGCTCCCAGGCAGCGCTGGCCGTAGCGGAGTGTCGGCTGCGGCGATTACCGGGTTAAGCGCCAGCCTCCGGGGCCTCCTGTGCCCGCTCAGAGACCCCTCCCAGCGCCCCCTCCCGAGCCCCCGACCCGGCCGCACGGGGATGAGGCGGCGCAGCGGCACAAAGGCTCCTCGGGGGCTGCCCGTTGCCTAGTGCGGGCGCGGCCCGGCTCCCCCTCCCCTCCTCCAGCTGGTCGGCGTCCCTCTGGCTCCCCCGTCACCGGCTCACCCCTTTCCCGTGTCCTCCAAGCTCCCCCACTACGCAGCGGTCCCGGGTCCCTGCCCTGCTCCCACGGCCTCCTTTCCTCTCTCCCTGGGGACCGGCAGGCGGGATCCCCCGCCTCCCCTCCCCGCTCAGCTCGGGGCCCCGTGGGGGAGGATGTCGGAGGATCACGAAATGGATAAAATGATTAAGGTAGGAAGGAGGCGCCGGAATTCGGGGACTCCCCCACCCCCCAGCAAATTCCTCTTCCCCTCCCCCATGCCTTTCCGTTCGGGGTCTTCAGCCCCCTAAAACAGCTCACTCCTTTCACTTTGGGGGCTTGGACCCCACCCCCAAAATCTCTTGGGGGTTGTGTGGGGGGAGTGTCACCCATAGTGCTGGGTGCAATCTCTGCAGGGGCCACACATCGTTGTTCTTTTGGGGGGGGGGGAGAGAGGAGAGAGAACCTGGCTCATCTTGTTTCACTCAGATGTCTTACATGTCTTGGGGATGATAAATCTGAGCTCCCTCTTACAAATCTTATTCCTTGTTCTTATTCCTTCCACCAACATATTCTTTCGCACATGCTGTCTCTCTGAAAACAAACTTCAGCCATCTGTGTCCTTTGATGCTGGGAATAAAGAGCTAAAATATTTAAATATTAGTTACTTTAATTACAGTGCTGTTAAATTTGGCAATGGAAATTTAACCAGCTGGCAGAATAGCTCTGTGCTATGGTTATTGGCTGATCATTGGTTTGAGTGCTGTTAGGGTAATAAATATGTAGGAACTCTGATACTACGTTGAGTATAAAAACTTGCACCCACATCCCACTGATTGCAGGAGCACCACCCTGAAGTCTTTTGCCTTGTAGTGGACCAAATCTACCCAGACAGTTTTGTAGTCTCACTCCTCAAATTGATATGCAGGAAATTTGTCTGCTTTAAAAGAAAATGCTGCTCTTTATGAAAACAAACTTGGCATGTGTGATGTCTGGTTTTTGGGAGAGAGGGGAGGGCACAAAACAGACTTAGGTTTGCACAACAAGAATTATTGTAAGAACTTAAGGTTCAATAGGAAGTTGTCACCTGCATGAGTTGATTTCCTGAGGAAAATAGTGAAAGTCAGTGAGACAAAACAACAATAAAAATGTACTAGAGGATTTCTGCAACTTTTTGGTCTTGCACCAAAAGTTCACTACTGCCAGCTGTAAGGCCTTCATAAATGTGTTAGAATCCCTTTCTGACTCATATCATTAGCACTTCATAATCCTAGATAAGTACTACTTTTGCTAATGAAGCCACAAAGATAAAACCGACAAATTCCAGAAAGGCACCAAAATTAAATACAAGTGGAACCGAGGAGAAAAAGCATTTTGAGTCTCCTCTCCTCAACCTCCCACCATCCTTTCAAGACCTGAGGGGTTTCTTATAGGGCAATATAAGAAAATATGAGCTATTTAAGTTTCTGTATAATCTTATAAGTTTGGAGTCTAGATTTATTTGAAAATGTGATGATGGATCTTGCTTTTTAACAATGCTAGCATGGCACTTTGGTCTGAGCATCAGGTTGGGAATACCCATCCATCTCTGAAACAACACAGTCAAATACCAACAGGATACATCATTCCTGAGGTAATAGTCTGAGTACAGTGCTCAGTACACTGAGTAGGCACTACAATCCTGTGGCGCAGTTTATAAGAGTAAGTGTTGGCCTCGATGTCCTTGGTTTAAAATCCACAACCCCCTGATGTGTATTGTGGTATCTGCCAGCCATCTACCTGGCTGCTATTCTCAGGATAGCTAGTTAGCAATGGATACTGTATGATCCTTTGGGATAAAAGGCATTATATCAATTCAAAATATAATTTAATCCTTCATTAAAGCATGAGGTTGACCTTTCTATTTATCATTGATCAAACATGATTATTAAAGTTTGTTTTCATGCCCATTGGTTCAAGTTCCCTAACAAAAGTTGGGAGAGTGTAGATCACTGTGCCAGCATGAACTAGCAGACATTGGAAAGTACATTTGAGCAATACAAATCCACTTGTGTTTGAAGATCAGGCATTAATTACTCCAAATAAAATGTTTAATTGATTTTGATGTTAAATGTGAATGGTTCTTTTTAAAATCCTTCTCTACAATTTTTCACTGGGTCTAGGTGGAAAGTGTTGGGAAAACAAATTTGCAAGACTTTCCCCCAAATAGTTGATACATGCCCTCACCTTCTGCCCGAGAAGAGCTTAGTTGGTTAGCTGAGACCCTGCCACTCACTTGCCGGGCTGTTGGAGCCTGGATAGGAGATGTGTGGCATGAGTGCCCACACCATTGTTTTTAAGTGCCCTCTGCTTATTGAATGGAAGTTGAACTCCTTACCACAGTGGAACTGTAACTGATGGAGGGAGGTTGCAGGAAATATATGGCAATGAGTGTGAACCCCAGGAAGCAGGCTTAGTTCATCCTTAAGCCCAAAACAATAAAAGGCATAAAAACCCCACCAATATAGGTGAGAACTTTTAACTTCAGCAGAATGTTCCATGCACCCTCTTTGCATAACAGGCATGAGTGTTTGAAGCAATTTTAAGGTACAATTTAGCACATTTAAAATCCCTTCACTAGTAGCAGCTGAAGCACTTTCATTCTGATCATCTGCAAATTAGTTCCAGCTGACCTGCCAGTCAATTTACAAGTTCACTGCTTCACTACACTGCTACTCCAAGTTGCCAGGCCTTTCCAGCTGGATGCTACCTGCATCCATAGGTGCTGTCTCAGCCCTTCAGAAGCAATTTCCTCCATCTCTCCCCCCCAAAAAAACAACAACTTTCTTCAGTTTTGTTAGAGAATCTATAGGTTCATTTCAGAAGTTTTAAAATGGCATTTAGTCTTGTCTGAGCTCATGGCTTTAGCCTGTACCTTTCTCCTCTCGTGGTCTCTTTGTCCTATATAAGGCAGGAAGAAACAGTTGTCTTGCTGGGCTTCTCTGAGGGAGGGTTTTTAATTCCTCCTTGCATCAAGGAAATTCCAAGTTATTCCTTGGATGGTCTTATAGATGCCATGAATATTGTTTGCCATTCTGTTTGGGCAGGGAACATGCTGAGGTGGTGTAGAGTGATGTGTGAGCCATTGTTCAAAGAGACCCTGTCTATACTTCAATATCTTTTTAGAATGAAAAGGCAATTTGTTCTAACAGCCTGTACTCTCATTATACAAATAACTGATCAAAGAATAAAACACTGGGATAAATCTGTTCCTTTATATGATATTCTAAGATCATTGCAACTGATAAATTGATAAGAGAACTACACTTTGTCAGTGTTATTACTTGAAAACAGTAAGCCAAGTAGTAGGCACCTGCTCTAATTTTCTCTTATTGCCTCTAAAGGGGGTATAACTGGGACGTGAAAGATGCTTGAAATTTTGCCTTTGTACCTTTGTTCATGCCACTCGTTTATTATTAGCACCCAACTTTACTAAGCACTCTGCAGGTCATCTAGAGAGGCAAGCTCCCTGTCCTAGACAGCTTACAATATAATTTTAAATTCATGTCTCCCCTTTACCCTGGGAAGTGTTCCCTTATCCTTACATGTGATTCAGTTCTTTTCAAATCCTGCTTAAAATACCACATGTTCTGGGAGGCTGTTCAACATTAACCCACCAACTGCAGTGTATACTGGAGATCTTTTAAATTAATTTAATTTAAAAAGACTGGCCATTTGAGTTTTGCCTCTTCAGCCTGTCAGTAATATATCTGAACATCTATATTTTACTTTGATGATCCACTTCTTTATCTAGAGGATGACTTTCTCTGTTTACAGCTCTGAGCACACAGGTGCTTAAATATGCAATTAGTTGTCACACATTCCAGAAAATGACCAGTACAGATCTTGCAGGGTGAGGGAAGGATGAGGAGCAGAAAGAGAACTCAGACCCTGGCTTTGGTCACTATTGTACTACTTAGTCTGACAGAAAATATATAGGAAAGACTAGTCAAAATAGTCACTTGGCAAACAGTTTATTCTGTTCGCTGCATCCTCTTAACATTTTTCTCCTGTTTAATGTTTCCCCTGCATTGTCGATCCCTACTTGCTGTGTTCCTTATAGCAAGCCAGAAAACAAACTTATATAAATTACTTCCTGGGAGGAACAGCATCAGGAACAATATAGAATATATATTTCCCTGGAACTATATTAACAGCTAGCATGTATAAATCTATACGCTTCTCCGGTGGTATTGTTAGATGACTGTCTTTAACAGCAGTGGTAGAAGTTTTAGCCACAACACTGTCTATGTTAAGGCCCCCCACATATACAACAAATGATGTAATGTTGAAGAAATATGTTTAAATAGGATAGTTCCTGAGGCATATAGTACAGTTTGGGCTTGTTTGTGCAGATTGGAGGAAAAAAATGGTGATTATGAGTGTGGTTCCTTAACAAACAAGATCAAACCAGTTTTTAGCACTGGCCTCTGCTGTGCTTAATTTGCAATGGAAGGATCCAAAGACTGGAAACCTCAGTTCTTTAGCAAGATGCTAATGTGGACAGAACCAAAAGGTAAATTCAAATTAAAAAATATTCAGCCCCAGTTTATTTTTTGGGAGGGAGAAGGGGTAAGGCAGAACTCAGAAGCAAGATAGTCTTGCATACTAGTATTTCCCAGGCCCCTTCTTCTATCAGTTGATGGTTACCCCATTCAGAATGCTAGCATGACCAGCTTTAGCCAACTGCCACAGCAGCACAGAAAATGTTACACTATCGCACCATGTTGTTATGCTAGTGTTTGTCTGGGTGTGTAACTTTCCTTGGGAAAGTGAAATAAAAGCACATTTTTCCATTGATTTGTCTCTCTCAAATCTGGTCTGCAGATATGTGCTTTTCAGAAAGGTTGCAGTAATTGTTTTTTCCTTTTTGCATAGGAAACCTCCATTTTAGAGGAGTACAGCATTAACTGGACTCAGAAGCTGGGAGCTGGAATCAGTGGTCCAGTTAGGTAAGACTGTATACCAGCTGATTTGTGTAGGCCATCAAATTGTCATGTTAGTAGCAAAGGAGGGAGTATATATTTTAACTGTGTTAATAGTAGAAAGATGTGTAACTCTTGAAAAGTTCCTCTCGTTTAGTTATAAGGAAATAGGAAGAGTTTGTGTGTAGTAACAAGTTCTTGACTCTGATGTAAGGTGCCGTGTACATGGCGCGTTTATGTGACTCGGGTACTCTGCCACTATTGGGAATGTTTGAAATAAAAGTAAAAATCCTTCATCTCAGCTCTCTCATTTTGCCCCATCGCCCACCATTCTATTTGTAAAACAAACTAGGAATAGTTATGTGCTTGGGCAAGATGCTCTTAGAAAGCCCTGTTCCAGCATCTATTTCTCTTTCTAAAACGCTGTCCATACAGTGCAGAAGGCACCACGCCCATCTATAGTATTGTCAGTTGGTTATTCAGCACTAGATGCCTTTTAGCTAATTTTACCAGCTCTTTTTCCAGCTTATGTGACGCCAATTCAGCTACTGTAACTAGTCCAGTATCTGTTACCAGAACTAACTGGGTCATTAACAGTCTTATCACTGACATGCAAGAACTGGGCCCTGCCTGTGAAGCACCATGAAGAGTCTCTGTCCACCTGAAACCCCAGAACAGACATTTGTGCTTCTGTCCTTTGACTCACCGCTGGAGTGTCCCCTCAGGGCTGGGTCTCATCTACTGCCCCCCGCTGACAGTCGTTCTTGTCCTGCTTGCTTCTTCTCATGGCTCAGCTGCCTGGCAAGGTTACATTTAGTCCCCACTCCCAAGTCCAATAAACTAAACTCAGACATAACCCTTTGCCCCTAGCCTGACTCCCTCCTCTACAGATTCTTTAGCCTGAAGGTCTAGCTCCAAATGCAACAGTCCTCCCTGCATTGTGTCAGGATGTTCCCGTACCACCTTTCCCAGGGGTGGGTAGGGGAACCCAGGGCCTCCCTCTCCTTTTAGTGCCAATTTAGAGACTCCATGGTGAGCAGCTAAGGTTTGTTCCCTTTGACTCTTGCTGCTTCCTGGAATTCTCTCTACCTTGGCTTTTCTTCAGGCCCTTTCCCCTAGTGTTCCCCCTGCCTCTCTCTAGGCCATTCTTCACTCTCTAACAACCAGAGATGGACTGAAAAATCACCCTTCCTCCCTTTATACTCACCACCCAGCTGGGCTTCATCTTGTTGGACCTAGCCCCGCCTCCAGGTGCAACCAGGTTTCTTAATTGAGCTGTTCTAGCTCCAGTTAACCCATTTAGTGCCAGTATGGAGAATATACTTCATTACAGTCCTGGAAAACAAACTTCACTGCCTCCGTCACTGGGAGACTGAGAGGGAGAAGACCAATTGGACCATCTCGTCTATTTCCCTGTCCAGGAAGGGTGATTTCTTACATTTTCTATCACTCTGTCCCATCTAGTTTGAAATGTCCCTTTGTTCTTTATTTGTTTATATTTGATGGCTGCCAAATAGGCCTAAGACCCTTCCCTCTGAAGCAGTCCAATCATTAATATTAAATATACATTGCACAAGTGCTTGTTTTCAGCATGGTCAGGGGCCCTGTCAGAACAATGGGCTTTGCATTGGAAACATTGTATGTATTATTGCTGATTAGACTCTACATTCCAGATGTTTAATTTATCACTGAGTTTTTAATCAAAAGCTACTCACTTAATTATTAACATGTACAATATATTGTTTCTAATCTGCAAAGCTATTTACCAATTTCAGTCCTTGCCTTCTCTTGAATCAAGATGTGCTGTGTATTGCTGGGAGAATAAATTCTGTGTAAAATGTCCATATTTCAAGTATGTCTTGTGATTGTTGTAGAATATGGTGATGACTTGTCATTTCTTTGAGGCTTTCTAGTCTAGTTTCTCAACAAGCACCCTGTACATTACAAATAGCCTATGTTAATCTTAGCTCCCATTTCATGAGCTAATACCAGTAATTATAAATCAGTTAATTAAAATATCTTTTTCACAATCCTGCTGATTGAATGATTTTATTGCTATAATACCAGAGTCTGCGTGAAAAAATCTACTCAAGAACGGTTTGCACTGAAAATTCTTCTTGATCGTCCAAAAGCTAGAAATGAGGTATAGTCCATTTTTTAAAAACCTGTATAATTATTGAAATGTACAAGATCTCTCCCGTTTTTCAAATTATTCCACTTGTATTAAAAAGAATTAGCTAAGGTAGAAAGTCGGTCAGCCATTGGCAGATTCCATTAAGATATGTTAAGAAGGGTTTGCTTTTTGCAATACCGCTTGCTAGGCAGTGCTCTGTGCTCTTGCTAGACATGCTGTATTCACAGTGGATACCTGCTGTTTATGCACAGAAGGTTTCGTTCAGAAAGGTGCGTGAGTTTACAGGGCCCTCCTCGCCCTCCATTATGTAACATAATATGAATAGTTTAGAGGTAATTTAGCTTCCATACATCTCACTCCCAGCATTACTAAAGTAAGAACTGTCAGACATGCTTCAAGTTGCACTCTAAATGATTTAGGGTTGATTTGATGTAGGCGATCTTAGATAAGCAGTCTAGCTTAATTTGTGATTACATTAGTGTGAGTGACAAGAACATGGGAATAGCCATGTGGAATGTATGATCTTTAAGATGGCTATTGCAGGTTTATATGATTTTTGCATACTGTTTATGTTCTTTTGAATTTTTGTTGTTGAATGAAAATCGATGTGATGTTTCAGGCAACATTTCATCAGTGTACATTAAAATGTCATTTATTCTTAAATTAAAACAAAAAAAATCACACATTCTTTACACATCTAGCATCGGTTTCCTTCTCCCTTCGCCTCACATTAAAAAGTGTATCAAACTACATAAAATTACAAGCAATAGTTTAAAATGTTAGCGCTCCCCACTCTAAAAAGGAAAAACAGAGAGAAAGAAATTGTGCTTAAGATTTATGCAAATTCCATTTCCTGCTACAAAGCAAATTCTCATTAAATTGCCTGGAAAAACTACATGAAAATAACATCAAGGACCTGGCTTGATCCTCCAAACTAAGAGGTTTAAAACTGGTTGAAACTTGTCAGCTTCCAGTATGGCAGAATATCTGAATAGAAGGTGACTTTACGTATCATGAGTACTATTTCGTCTGGTCATAAAAGGCAGGGAATAGAGTTTCAGCTTTTATTGGTGAACTTCCAGATTTTTGTCACTGTACGCCGTATCCTTATTGTTACAATAAGATCATTTCTTTAAAAAAAATCTTCTAAAGATTGAACTTTGAGTGGTTTATTAAGCTGTAATAAATTGCCATAAGCTGTAACAATTCTTGACAGGTAAATGAACTGATAATATTGTCTTTTTGTTTTATTTATTTGAGTGTAATGTCTCCTTGATTGATTATACAAATTCTTTGAGGCATTGTTTTGAAATAAGTGAGTGGGCTATGTCATTTTTAGCCTGTGTGTAATTTACATTGAAGCAGTTAAGTCATTTTGACTTATGGGCTCCTGTAATCTTGGGGATATGGGGAGGAATGGAGCTGTTTGATGCCAATGTATACAGTAACGTTTCTTACCTTCTCTTTAAGGTACGTCTGCACATGATGTGTGCAACACATCCAAATATTGTTCAAATAATTGAAGTTTATGCTAACAGTGTGCAGTTCCCTCATGAATCCAGTCCAAGGTAAGATTACATAGGGTGATTGATTCCCACAGCTTGCTTTCCATATTTAGGCCCAGGTATTGTGGAGACTTTTTTTAATCATAAATAATTAATAATGAACCTGAAAGGAGCCCCCAACTGGGGCTTCCAGGCAAGATATTACACTTCACAGTAAGCTACACCCATTTTTCTCATCACAGTGCCCTGGCTTTATAGACAGATACTGTATGCATTGAATTTCATTTTTTGATTAAAGTTTGATTTCTTTGCTGCATATTTCCAGCCATCATCTTGTTGAAAAATACCATAATTTGGGACACATACATTGTCTGAGAGTAAACAGGCTTCTGTCCTGCTTTAATACTAGTTTGGCACATAAGAGCTTCAGAGTCAGCATTCTTTGAGGAGCTTTCCATTTTCAAGCCTGTATTAAAACAGGGTAGGAGTTGTAGTTTTATCTCTCTGACACTGATACTTTCCCTTTACATGCAGGCTCACAAATGAGATCCCTTGCAAGAGATTGGTGACTTCTGGCCGGCAGCAGGTTCAGAAATGCCAGTGTTAATAATAATAATATCTGTATATTGAATTGCATTTGAAAAATAACATTTCTGGCCTTGCAAACAGTCAAAATGTTGCCAAGCCTAAAATAGATGCAGAAAAAACATGAACCTGGGCTACTGTCAACTATTGATATGACATAGGGAAAAATACTGATATTAGCTTCTAATTGGGTGTTAAGTATAAAGAATTTAAGAGTGGGTAGAGTTTTGTTTTAATATAACATAAAGGACTGACATCCTCTGTCTTTTTGTTCTCGGGGGGGTTGACAGTAAAACTCTAATTAAAACTGGGAGGCACAATATGGTATCCTGCCTCTAAAGCTTTAAAGATGGCTGTCAGCTTCACATTTGTAACTTGCTGTGAACACCTACAGCAGTACATAAATAATCCCTAAATGCATTCGCTTCAGTTGGAAAGCAAACTGTAGTCTCCCATGTGATAGTACAATGCACTATTCAGTGAGTCAGATTATGCAGGAGACCAGAAGATACAGTATTTGACACTGTAAAAGCCAAAATTATTAGACTAATGTAGACAGAACAACAGTATGAGACGATTACACTGTCTCTCCTTTGGCCTGCATCACCAGCTGTGAAATGTGCATTACTAGATTAGCAATTTTGTTATATTTTGACAATTTTTTTAATGTAATGAAATGAAATGCTTTTAAACAGGGCTCGGCTTCTAATTGTTATGGAGATGATGGAAGGGGGAGAGCTATTTCACAGAATCAGCCAGCACCGGCACTTTACTGAGAAGCAAGCAAGCCAAGTAACAAAGCAGGCAAGTTAACTCCCATGTATAAGCAAAACCATGAACAATAATGGTTAAAATAGTTACAATTTCATGGGGGCGGGGAAGGAAAAAGGAAGCTAAAATAACCCTCAGTTCTGATCCAATGATCATTGCCTGCTTTGTTATAATCTGACAATACCAAAGTTTTGATAGAACTGAAGAATTGTACTTTTTTTGCTAGTCTTCCTGGGTTGAGATCTTTATACCTTTGAAGTCCTTCTTAGTAGTGGTTCTCCAACTTCTTCATTCTCCTGAGCACTTCACAAGAGAGAAATCCCCTCCTGGATAGTCTCCCTGCCCTGTCCCTGGCTTTGCAGTTCTCAAAGTGTTACATTCAGGAGACCACCAGGAAGGGTCTTCATGGGGAACAAATGGTCGCAGGACTACTGTTTGGGAACCACTGCTAAATATCAGATATAATTACTAATTAGTAGTGTTTCTCTTGGCCCATGGGAGACAGCAGATATACCATACCCTGTATATATGCCCTAAGCATTCATTTTTCTCGAAGTCTAGAAAATACCAGTGTTCTCTCTAAGTATTAAGGATCTGCTAATGTCTCATGGAAGACCTAAAAATCCATTGAATTCCAAGATAAGTCTACCAGTATGTATAGCACATGTCTTCTGTGTTTCTTTTCTCTCTCTAGCCAACGATAACACACTCAGCACTGTGGTATCTTGGCATCTCTCCAGCTTGTATTACTAAGGACTTTTGCATCCATCAAATGCTTTGTTGCTTATCCGTTCATCTGCTCATCTCCCATCAGAGGGGCCAGATGTGGTCAAGCTTGAAGCAGGGGCTCAGTGGGATGGCATTTCTGCAAGGATCCCCTTGGGAGATTCCCCACATCATTCCTTGGGGGTGAGGGGGGAATTGTTCTTTCTTCCTCCCACCCTTCTGGGTGAGCTGTGGGGGACCACCCAGAAAAGCCCAGATTCATGAGAGGGCTGTCAGAAAAAATAATATAGCCTTAGGCTGTGGTTTCTCCAGAGAGCCACTGTGGGACAGGAAAGGCCTCTACCAGGAGCCACAGAAGGAGAATATTGCTGCAAAAGTGTTTGAGCCCTTCCTCTGCGTGTGGATATAGGGAACACAGTCCCCCTCACTTAGTCCTTGCAGAGAGGATTATGACATCCCAAAATGAAGATGCATGAATTGAGATGGGAGATAAACGGAGCAAGATTCAATGAAAACTCTAAGCTACAAATATCCTGGTCCCCTGAAAATGACCATAGTGGATTTAAAAAGAAAAAGCAGACAGGGATACAACATCATTGTTTCTAAATAGAATTCTTTTTACGGTTTCCACAGTGTGTTTGGCTCTTTAAGCTGTTGAGATGGTTGCATAGCGATATCTTGATGTCATGATTGTGCTTTCAGTGTATTAGGGAGACTATGCTGGCTGTTGTTTTTTGAGGGGGGGGGGGCAGAGGGGAGATTTGGAGGGGATGGAGCAAATTCTGTTCTTTCCAATTTAATTTTCTATAAAATACCTTATGTCAGTGGCTTTCAGCCTTTTTTCAATTTGCGGACCCCTAAAACATTTCAAATGGAGATGTTGGAGCCCTTTGGAAACCTTAAACATAGTCTGCAGACCCCCAGGGATCCACGGACCACAGGTTGAAAACCACTGTCTTACGTTTTGTAAGTTGCTTCTCATGAAGTGTTCATTGCAATTACCTTTCTGGTTTTCCGTTCTGTGCAATGGACCAGCATAGAAATTAGATGAGAAGTGCAGGATTGTTCTCCGCAGTAAATTTACTAGTGGTTTATGAGGTTTGGTTTTAAAAGACAGCACACTTTCTAAACAAGAGAGTCTCCAGGAAGAACTCGTCAAAAGTATCTTTGTTTATTTAACTCTTTTTTCCCCTTTTTTTTTAAGCACATGGACAGAATTCAGTTCATTTAGGTCCCAGTCCTACAACCATGCATGTGTGAAGTCCATTGATTTCAATGAGACCACACACATGCATAAAGTTACTTATGAGTGCATTAGTGTTTGTAAGACTGGGGTTTTAGAAACTATTTTTAAATGTTATTCGTATGTCTGGTGTTTCCTGAATAATATCTGCATTTAGAGCATTTTACCCCTGTGTGCCCAGTTAATGAAGCCTTGACACACAGCTTACCTGAGAACTCATATTTACACTTTTGTATTTGCTTCTGGGTTAAGTTAGCATTAAAGCTCTCATTGCACTATTTCTTAAAGCATTCATCACCCTATCCTGAGACCCTGCTTGGGCAGAAGTCCCACTGAAATCAATGAATTCTCCCCAATAAGGACTGCTTGACTGGGCCTTAATTTTGTTTTGTGTCAATGATGTTATGTAAACATTTTATTTCCTTTCATTGTTTAAATGAATTACACCTTCACGTGTACAATCTGTGGAGTCTTAGGACTAGGTAACAAGTTTCTAAACAATTGCAGCAGTGTAAAACTATCATCCTCGTACCTTGGAAGGACTACTAGTAGTTTTCTGTGTCACACAGAACAGGTGAAATGTAGACAGTCCATTAATGTGTTAAAGAATAAAGTTGCCTGAATGTTAGCTCTTAAGTAATGAAAGAGAGAAAATTTTGGGTGAAGTCAACCTTCATAGCTGAAGTCCTGAAATAAGAACTTCACTGTTGAAAGTTAAGCAGAATGTAATCGCTTGAGTACCTGCAAGCATGTTCGTGACACTGCTGACCAAGTACAGCAAAGAAAGGGACACTGTCATGATAAAACCTCAGTATTGAAAATGCATTACAGACCTGGGTTAGTAATATTGTACTGCTCTGGCGTATTAACGTAATGAAAAGAAAATCACAATTTATGCTGTTTGTTTTCCTTTTGTCTAAGCTTAATGAAATGTAAATTGAATAGACTGGTCAGTGGGTCTACTTCTAGGCAGTTTCACTTCCTGATTTCCATGCATTAGTGCAGTGCACTGTTTGGGTTTCCAGCGCTGCACAGGAATGTCTGAATCTAAAATTGGCTTTCATTAAATATTTAACTTCTCTCTGAAAACATTTGGGGCCTAAACTATGTTACAGTGTCTCTTTAAAGTGCAAAAATACTGTCCAGGCAAAGGGAGAAGTTCTATAACTGTAGTTGATTTATTGTGCCCTTTTTCAGATAGCTTTGGCTTTGCAGTACTGTCACACGTTAAACATTGCACACAGAGACCTCAAGCCTGAGAATCTCCTCTTCAAGGATAACTCTTTGGTAAGATGGGGACTTAGTTTTCTTTCTTTCTTGATGAATTTTATAACATGATCAAAGATGATGCTCAGAAAAGTGGAAAATACTAATAATACTAGTTCCTATATAGTGGTTTTCATCCGTAGTTCTCAACGTGCTTTACAAAGAGAGGTCATTGTGCAGTGAGATCAGCCCTATCTTTTGGTGATAGGAATCCAAAGGAGTCAGTCATGTGCTCCTTCTCAGTGCCCCAATGAAATCAGATTGTGATTTCCTCAGACCAGAACACGTCCGCACCTATGAGATCTTACCTCGGGCCAAATCCTGTGCCTAGGCACGAAAACGCGATAAATGGACCTTACATAAGGGATCTTTTCAAGGGTTTGGATGGGACAGAATCCTTCCTACTCTGTTTTTATTACCGTAGTCACTGCATCTCCACCTCTCCCACCCCCAACACACACTTGCAAATATACACCGTACGGGTGTTTTGACTAGGACAGGGGTGGCCAAACTGGCTCGGGAGCCACACGTGGCTCTTTTACAGTTAAAGTGCAGCTCCTGGAGGCCCCCACCCCCAATCCCCCCTACTCCCCCTCACAGATTGGCGGGGAGGGGAGCTCAGGGCGTCTGGCCCATGGGGCATGCCTGCTGGGGCCCTGAGCCTTGGCAGACACCTCCCACGGGGCAGAAGCCTCAAGTCCCTCCATCCTGCTGCAGGGCAGAAGCCCCGAGCCCCGACCGGTGAGCCCCACAGGGCTGAAGCTCCGAGCCCCGACAGGCGCACCCGGCTCTCAAGGTTATGAAGATTATTGTATGTGGCTCAGAGGGCCAGTAAGTTTGGCCACCCCTGGACTAGAGGATCCATATAGTGTGGAACCACTGTTTATGGCCCATCACATCCCTCCCTACTCCCCACCACTCTGCATATACAATGGAACCACCACAGTTTGTGAGTAGGACTTTGCAGACAAGGGGGTGGGATATACTTTGTGTTTCTGAGAGCAGCCTGGAGCACAAAGGGTATTCATTGCTCAAGTAAATCAATCCATGACACCAGGATAGCAGCCTTGTGGCAGTGGGAAGGAAATAGCTGAAAAAGAGGAGTAAGCTACGGCAGGAATGCGATGAGAGTCGAATGTAAGAGAGAAGGAAGAACGCTATATTGTAAAGTAAAAGAAATTCAAATACAACAGTCTTCAGACTTGCATCTGAAGAAGTGAGGTTCTTACCCACGAAAGCTTATGCTCCCAGTACTTCTGTTAGTCTCAAAGGTGCCACAGGACCCTCTGTTGCTCAAATACAACAAGATTCCATAATAAAATCCCTCCTGCTGCTTGTTTCAGGACGCTCCAGTTAAGTTGTGCGACTTTGGATTTGCCAAGATAGACCAAGGTGACTTGATGACACCCCAGTTCACTCCATACTATGTAGCACCTCAGGTAATGAATGATTGTCCTTTCAGTTATAGAGAAATAACGCATGCAGTATTTATTGGCCACGCCTTTGTACACATGCCAGTCTAATACCCCTTTCTAGAGACTACTAAGGGACTCTTGTGTGGGAGTCATGAATAAATGAATAGTGTGGCTAGCCTTTCAAAACGAAGTGCCTGTTGCTTTACACCACTGCAATCTACTGGTTACAGCAGGGGACTGTGAGACGAGGGTCTAGAGGCTGTTTCTAGCGTGGACTCTGCGTTGCTGCCTGCCTTGGTCACATCAGTTAGCCTTTCTGGGTTGTAGTTTTCCAAGTAAAATGGTATTCGTACGTATTAGTAAAAATGGAGATAAATCTTGAATTCTGATCTCCCTCGAGGGGAGGGTCATCTGTAAATTGGGCAGAAACCTATTGTTGCATCTGTGTTGAGACTTAGGGTCTCAAACTGAGCTCTGGTTGTGTTAACACAGGTGATCTAGGGATGTCTGTTGTACTCCTTGCCCCGGTGCAAGCTTATATTAAATTACATTTTAAAAAGCTACATTACAAGAACAGTAAGTTGCAAAGTCAAGTGCTCAGAAGTTAGGAAAATGCCAGAAATCAAGTTCTCCATGCATCCTTCATATGGCCCCTGGGTGCACATACGCTGTCTTTAATTATATGATCCCTCCCCGCTCCTTTCCGCAATCCTCTGCAGCCAAGTCAGATTAATTCCTCCTCCTCCTTGCTGCCTGGGTACCAGTAGGGTGAACGTTGAGAGCACAGCAGAGGCAGTCTCCCTGCTCTGTTGTGGGGCCTGGCATCACAGCAGCCTCTGAAAGCCAGGAGCAGGAACTGTAGGGAAAGTCCTGGAGAGCCCCTGCAGCCCCACGAGGGAGCATGTTCACTCATTCGATGGGATGGTGCATGCGTATTCCCCTCAGCATATAGACGTATGAGGGGCTGGAGCATGCTTAGTGAAGATGGACTCTTTGGAAAATTTAGCTGTTCAACTCTGCCCAGTCTCTAAGGAGCAGATTTTTTTGGAGGCTTATAACTTGATCCAAATTGGGCAAATTTTCACGGGGACAGCAAAAAAAGGCACATCCCTGGCTCCAGGGCAACACCCGCTGCTGGAGGTACTAGAGCTTCCCAACAAAAGAGTTGGAAGGATTTTTTTTGTACATTAGCTAAACATCTAACCTTCATTCTCTAACTTCATTTCTTTGCTAACCTCATTCTCAGAAGTGGTCAAATCATTTTAGCTGAAACTTTCCCCCCAAAAAAATCAGCCTCAGGCAGATACCTGACAAGGAAAATTTCAGCCTGAACTGTTTGTTTGGCAAAGTTTTAAGCAGCTGAAAATAGGGTCATACAATGGAAAGGGTCAGGCAGCTTTAACTATAGGCATGTGATTTAGATTTGTACTGTAATTTCTAATGTGGATTCTTGTTTTTGTCTCCCTGCAACAGGTACTGGAGGCACAAAGACGACATCAGAAAGAGAAATCTGGTATTATCCCTACCTCACCAACACCCTACACTTACAACAAGGTAAAGTTTTCAAAGAATCTGGGTGTTGACATCTTTTAAGAAAAGGGCTTTTTCCTTCTGCAGGTAGATGCAACCATAGAAGTAACTGTAATAGCTGCTTATCACACTACCATGAAGTGGGGCATTTGTGACCAGGAACAGTAAAAAGGTTCAGACTCTAGGCTTTCTAATACATAAAACTAACCAGATTATACCTACACAGAGTTTCCCAGTGAAAAGCAGGAACTATAACGAACCTTAGGGAAATGTCACTTTGCCAAATGACCCTTTCTTTAGCAGGAATGGAATAACCTCAGGGATAGAGTTTTTGATTTGGCTACTTTACAATGTAGCAAGTGTTGGAAAATAAAAATTTTAAAAACGAGCAGGTGGTGCATTGGCACTACTGTCAGTACTCTTTCCTGGGTATATGGTTGGTCTGGTTTCATTAAGTGGGCTTGGAGAATTGTGTGCAGGTGAGTATTATGATATGGAGGAAGGTAAAATATTGCCACAAAAATGCATTTAATTGCAACTTAGCTTAATAGTTCAAAATACATATGTCCCTGTTGTTCATAGTTGCTTTTTTCAATAATCAGTTATTATTTTAGGGTTAATCGATTTCAGAGGTACTATGATTGGTTTCTGCTTGTTAACTGGGCTGCACAGATTAGCTGTCCCAGGTCTAGAGATGCATGACATGCTTAACTGTGGTTCTGGCTTTGAGTTCTTCTTTCTGATGGAAGTGATCTCTTGGTCTGAAGTATGAACTCCTTCATAATAGCACGATCAAACGAGAAATATGCCAGCGCTGTTAGCAATAGCACAGTATTAGTAACAGTAACGGTATTAAAAACTGCAAGGAAAATGATTCCATTGGGATATACCTGCTTGGGAATAAATTATTTCACCACTGTCAAAGGCTCTTGCAAAATAATCCTCTCTTTTGTTGATATTAGGGGCTCCTGATAGCACGATAGCAGAGCCTGCTAACTTGAGCTCTCTTATTCATACTGTTGTCTTTTTTTAAGATGAGAAATAGTTTTATTATACAATGGGAAACTACTTTAGTGTCTGTACCAGTAAAGTCATAGGTATCACAGCTGATGCTAGGATTGTCTTGGCAAAGGTTGTGATAGAATTTGTCCTGAGATTTCTTTTATGAGCACTCTCAAGGCTAACCAGGAAGGTCGTATTCCTTTTTGGCTTCTCCTAAAAACTGAGTCTGCTTACCAGCATCTTTCCCTCCATAATTAGTGGTGTTTTGGGCACTTAGGGTTTTCCTGTGAGGTTTTCAGCTTTGATTGAAGAAAGCCTAGAGTTCTCTGATTGCAAAGGAAAATGTTTGCACTGACATCACTCTCAAGGGTAATTCTTCAGCTCAGCATACACCAAGTCTTTGGTATACAGAGGTACATTTGAGTAGACTATATCAGAAATCCAAATGGTAGTACACAGAGGTGATCTCTACTGCATTACCCCATATGTCTTGCTTGCTTCTTCCTTTTCAGGAGGAATCCCTGAAAAGTAGCTTGGTTAGAGTTGAGCGGGAAGAAACCAGTACTTTCCAGACACTTACATAAATAATGGAACGGACAGAACAGGTCTCCGACAGGAGTTTCTTTCAGTATAGTGATTCACATACCCTGGCACTCTCACACCCTCTCTCATCCATTTGCCATTGAGCCTCAGGGATAGGGAAAGTGGTCCAAGTGCTTTTTGATAAGCTCTTAAAAGTCACAACGGGGGGACATGGGGTGCACTTTTGTGGACTGCAACAGGTAGACTACCCAATAGCGGATAAGTAATTTCTCTCCCTTTCAGTACAGAAGTGTCAAATGCAACTCTTGCAAGTCCTAAAAAAAAAATATTTTTTCACTGTCATGTTGATACAGAGCTTGAAGGCAGTTTTGTTCCTTCGGTGAATTAAATCTGTACATTATCAAAGTATGAATTATATTTTAGCATAAAGGAAAGAGTCAGAAGAATAGGAATGAACTCCACAGTGCGTACCTGTATTGACAAGATTAACCAGTTTGTTGCCAATGTGTTATCCCTTTTCACCCTGTTTAGTTTTCGTCTTGTCCCGTGGAATTATACTGTGATAAGCAGCCTTGTTTGCATGTGACGGAGATCACTTAATGAACTGTTCCAGCTCATTCTTGAACAGCTTTCAGTCATAGCTTCATTAACTAGCTAGGAGTGGTGTATAAAATGTTCTTACCAGTATCCTCCTGCCAAATGTGACTCACTGTAAAAACAGCACCTAGCATATGCCCTGCTCTCTGAAATAGACTGTGATAAACTCCCACGTAAACTGTCTTTACATAGTAATTCAGGGCCACTCTGATTGCAAATGTTTAATGATCCACCTTCATGAGTAATAAATGCTGCTTATGTCATTTTGCTACAAAGTTAAATTGGAGGAAAAGCCCTTCCCTTGAGCCTTTGAGTGTTTTTTTTTTATTTATTTTTGTGTACTGGATCAGAAGAGAGAGAGAGTGTGTGTGTGTGTGTGTGTGTGTAATATTTTGGGCTGTTAAAATGTAGACTCTAAGGGTGGAATGCTCAAAAGAAGTTAAGCTCCTATCTTCCATTGAAATCACTGGAAACCTGGGGAAAATTTTGACCATGAAAGGTATCTGGTGAAACCACATAGGAGTTTGTTTGAAAAAAATTTTTTTTAAACAACTGACTTTTTGTAGAAGTAAAACATGTTGGGTGTCTATTTTCCAAATCCACCCTGAGGATCTGGGTGTCAGGCCCTTCAGTATGTCAGAGGCACATGCAGGTATACTGGGCAAACTTGTGAAGTGTTGTACAATTTGTTTTTGACTGATCCATATACAAGGATACTTGAATCTTAGCATGTGACTATCAGAACATTACTAAGTACACTGGGAAATTACTCATTTAAAAAAAAATACACAACTAATTTAGCTGGCAAAAATACTTAAAATTTAATCTTTCTATTTAAGAAAAAGGTAAAGTATTAAGCAGCTAATGGGAGGGGAAAAAAACTTTAGAAATCTAAATTCTTATAGAGTTTGGACACTTTTTTCATTGATTTTGTTTTTCCCTCTCCAATAAACTAATTCAGACCAGACCACTAGAGAGAGACCAAAAGGTATTTCAGCATTTCATAAGAAGTCGTGTAGATCTTTTAACATGGCTACACAGTGCTTTGCCGTAAGTTGTGCCCCAAAAGTGATAATTTCCTTGCTTTCAGAGCTGTGACTTGTGGTCCCTGGGTGTCATTATTTATGTGATGCTGTGCGGATACCCTCCTTTTTACTCCAAACACCACAGTCGGACAATTCCAAAGGACATGCGGAAAAAGATCATGACAGGAAGTTTTGAATTTCCAGAGGAAGAATGGAGCCAGATCTCAGAAATGGCAAAAGACATTGTGAGAAAGTGAGTCAGTTGAGGAAAATGTTATATTACTCTTTATTATTTATATCAAGACATTGGAAAATCACTAAATATTTTGTCACTAAAGGCTCCATTTTCAAAAGGAAAAAAATTGTCTACCGTGTATAAAACTGGAACATTGTATTTCATATTCAGCATGAACAAAGGTTGGTAAATGTTTTCCCTTGTTTCTCTCTTTCCAAACCACTGTCTTCACATTTTATCGGCTCTTACCACTAAATTATTTAGAGTTGCATGGAGATTTAGCCTTTAACGGGGAGCAGTACGGTTAAATCCTCATGCAACACTTCCGGAAAAGTACAGGTGTTGAGTGCGTAGTGCACGTGTACCCAGTCTAAAACAAGCAGCTGATCAGAAATGGTTTTTGAGCACAGAGCTAAAGTTTTTCTGGTATGTATTTTATCAAAGGGACACTGTCAGGTCACGTTTGGCCTAAAATTTGAGCGTTAAAATCTGTTAAATCCTAAGACCCCCAAATAAGTATTTCTGTACATTTTTTTTTAAAAGCAAATAAATATTCCCTGAAGTGTTTGCAGCTCAAACATTGCAGCACTCTGCTATTGCGTGATAACCAGAAAATGGAACTGATCAGAAGCCAACCGCATTTTTAAAAGTGAAATTGACTAGTTGCATTTTCACTGTTCAATCAGAGAAATGAAAAAAAAAATTAAAAGCAACATAAATAGTGAAAATCAAATCTATTTAATTATTTTAACCTGACACTGTCCCCTTTAAGGAACTGTAAAAACTCCAGGAGCATACTTTTGTAAATATTGGAGGAACCTGTTTTTAATGGTAAAGAGAAAGTCCAGAAGGGCTTTGACATACAAATTGCAGTTATGGTTTCACTGAAACCTTCACTTAGAGGGAAATCAGCTTTTTTCATACAGCAGCTTCACTCTAAGAAGGTTCCCCTGTATTTCAAAATGGCCACAATATTGGATTCTACAGACTGTCACTAATTTGGATAAAGTCAGTTTTCTTTCATTCTCTTTAATAAACTTTCAAAACTACTTTTCCTCTTTGTCCTTCTCCAGCAAATGTGTCAGAACCTGTCTATGGCTTGATGTGCAGTAAGATATTTAAGTCTGTATAGAGGATTCCCTTGTTTGAGAGAGGTTCTTAGCCTGTATGTGCGCTGTTTTCTGTTTATTTTGGGGTTTTAAAAAAAATAGATTGTTATTCACATGAGCCTTGGCTCTGGAGGTCACATTCTGCCTTCAAGTGGCTGCTTGCTTTGGAGCCTGTTTAGCTGATATGTGGCCTTGATCTTTACTTAAGAATAAGACTATAAATGATCCCTTTTAAATCTAAAGAAAAAAATGCATATGGCTTGGGGTCTTGAATCAAAACTGAAATGGAGACTTGTTTGCCACCTGTGCCTTGTACCTAAATCTATGGACTAGCCTGGGGCACTGCTGACACTTCTGTAAAAGTCACCTACTTTTTCTTTCTATATTGAACAATTCTGCTATACAATCAGATAATCAGTTTACTGTATAGTTGTGCAAGAAAGTTAATTGTGGCTTAAATAGACCGTATTGTTTTGTCTATTTCCAACTTGACCTTTATCTTTGACCAATCAGCAATACCAATAATATATCAGCCATAATCCTGACATCTTATTTTATATTAAACAGTTGTGCTTAATAGTGGGAGCTTTAATTTTCCTGCAGAATCTTTTCCAGGCTGTTCTTTCTAGTGAATGTCGAGTGATTTGTCTTTCTCCCATTGCTACCGTAAACATTCTCTCCATAACAATCCATAAGGTTTTCACAGAATCTCACAATGCAACTCTTCTTTACAATCCTATCTGGGACTCTACAGTTGTTACATTAGAGTAAAATTGTGCTTTGAGTGTTGGTATAAGAAACAGCTATCTGGCAGTATAGAAAGTTAGGTGGAAATAGCTAATTTATCCAGTTATCATGGGAGAGCTGAGTATTCTGGAGGCTGTGCAATCAGTGTCAGGGACGGAAGGGAAAGGAGGCCATCCACCTGTTGCAAGCACAGCCATTAAATAGTTGCCTAAATCAGTAGGACACTGGAGAGTTCTTTATATTAAGTGCTGCTAATTCACCAGAGATAGAGGTTGTCTCAGTTCTAAAGGTGTCCGCTTGTCCATCCTTCTGCTGAGGAAACAGTGCAAAGAAGTTGCATTATAGGGGCAGAGTCTGTTCAGTAAACAAATACCTAGCTTTGAAATTCTGCCTTACTCCGCATGCACAAAATCCTTGATTAAGTAAGTCCCACTAGCTGGCAAATCTGTAGAAGTGCATTTCCAGAGAATGTTGATCCTTTTTGTGTTGGGTATTTCTTAAAGGAGGAGAACTTTTTCTACCACAGGATCTGAAGATACACGTTAGCTGAGTGCAGTCATTACAGGATCCCTTTCTCACTTTGTGTCACTGAAGATACCCACTGTGACTCTGCAGTGCTTAAATAGATCTCCAGAAAGAGTCATTGGAATAAAATGACTGATGAGGAGCAAATCGTTTGTGAGAGGTTTTGTTGGCATTCTAGTCAAAGAAGAACTCTCATCTCTGGGAATGGTAACTGCAAAATTAAAAGCACTCTGATTCTAGGCAGAACAGAAGGTTGTTGCTTAGAAAGAATGGAGCATCTTTAAGGACCGATTTGTTTTCTCTCTCAGGCTGCTGAAGGTAAAGCCCGAGGAACGGCTGACTATAGAAGGAGTCCTGGACCATCCCTGGCTAAACTCCACTGAAGCTCTCGATAACATTTTGCCCTCTTCCCAAATGATGATGGACAAGGTTTAGATAACGTTTTATTATTTCAAAAAGGTCAAGTCTGGAAACGGGCCACATTGATGTTTGTTAAGCATTTTGTTTTAAAACTATGTCCTGCAGATTAAGAGCTCAGATGTTGATGACCTTCAGAAAGAGAAGGAGAATCTTTGTTCCTGAAACCAAAAAGTTTCATTTAAAACTGGGCTAGAAAGAAAATGCTTGAAGATCGGCTGTAAAGAGCAATCCTGACCTAGTGAGACTCAGGAGGAGATGGACAGTTATAGTAAATGTGACCTATTAGGGCTCTTCTGTCTCTAGGTGCTTTGCTCACTTCAGTATTGCATCCTTTTTCTCCTTCGTTTACCTTGGTTCTGCAGCTATGAGTCCATTGGTTGGCAGTCAGGGGTTCAGCTGTGTGGTCTGTATCACTCCCTTTAACTGACTAAGTGGAAAACTCATTTGCACAAAGGTGGCCGCACACTCAGGTCTCTAAGATCATGGAAGTTAGACATGGAGAAGACCCATTAGACTGAGTCCAGGCCCTTGTAAGGTCAGGATATTATCCAGCACAGGGTCACTGCTCAGTACTGAGCTGGTCTTGTGTAGCACAAGCATGATTTTATTGTGCATCCCTGAAATGTGTGCAGGATTTTTATGAAATGTTTTTGTACTGGCTTATATTGGCCTTTTATACACAAAGGAACTAATTAAAAGACTATGTGTAACTTTTTCCATTCCAGGCAATGGTTGCTGGGATACAACAGGCTCACGCAGAACAGCTTGCTAACATGAGAATCCAAGACCTCAAAGTCAGCCTCAAACCCCTCCACTCTGTCAACAATCCAATTCTACGCAAGAGAAAATTGCTAGGGTAACTTTCTAAAAAAAAATTTCTAATGTTTTACAATCTAATAATTCCTAAATGTCAGAAGCCAGGATGCTTCAATTGTTGTTTAACACTTAAACCTCTGTTAAGGTTTGTTTGACTGAAATTCCTAAAATGTCTAGCTGGTTGGTTGGCTAGTTCCTACTTCCTGTGCTGAAACAGCCGGAGTCAAACCTAGTAACCATAATACATGTATAGCATCTTCACAGCTCATCAACAACTCATGTTGATTTAATTAATTACATTATCCACCCCTAATTCATGATTAATAGAGTCCCTTATCAGCCTCTCCATTATCTTGCCCAGGGTGCCGCTGTTAGGCTGTCAGGCCTATAATTACCCAGTTCATCCTGTTTACCCTTTTTAAAAATTAGCACAACATTAGCTTTCTTCCAGAACTTCCCCAATGCTCTCAGACTTATTGAAAAGCAAAATTAATGATCCAGTGAGCTCCTCAACCAGCTCTTTTAAAACTCTTGGATGCAAGTTGGACCTGTTGATCTTAAAATGTCTTATTTTACTAGCTTCTGTTTAGCATCCCACAGAGATACTAGTGCAAGGCAAAGTGTAATCATCACTGTATGATGAAACTAGATCATATTTTTCTCCCCAAATATACCACAAAAATATTTATTGAACACTTCTGCCATTTCTGCATTATTATTGATAATTCAACCATTTATTCTAGCAAATTACCATTGCCAGAATACTTTTTGTTTCCAATATATTTTTAAAACTCCTTATTATCCTTAACACTGTTGGCCATAGATGTTGCCCTGTGTTCCTTAGCTTCCTTTATCAATTTTCTACACTTCATAACTTTTCTTTTATATTCATTACTGTCAGCTTCTGTTTTCTTCCATTTGTTATCTATTTTTTTATTTATAAGTTTGGTATATTGTATTAGGAATTTATGGACAGGACTTAAGAGGCACTTCGCAATCTACCTACCAAAGAGCTAAAATTTAAGCTTAACAAGAAAAAATTCTTTTGACACATCTGACACCACTTAAAATGACAAAGGTTCAAATTAAGGCTAACAATCAAACAGTATGTGAACTTCAGAGCAGGTAATACACGTAAAATTCAAAAATTGGAAGCAGCAGACTAACTATAACTTGTAATGGTATTTTGGATAGAGTAACTTTCCATTTGAGTAATAAGCAGATGGAGTATAAGTATATAGTTCTTACAAGTACAGTACATTGAGTATAATTTTTTTTTTCTGCTGTAGTTAGAAGCAGAGTAGCTACTCTTCTTGTTTTTTCCCCAAATACTGTTTGTATTCAGGTAGTTGGAATCTTTTATTACATTGTATTATGGCATTTTGTTTGGAAAAATAGTTGAATTTTTTTTTTAAATCTCTAGTTTTAAATGTATGGAAGGGCATCTCGAGAGGGGCCCCGAAGGAATCAGTTACAGGTCCAGTTCTGTTCAATATCTTCATCAATTATATAGATAATGACAGAGAGAGTACACTTATAAAGTTTGCAGACAATACCAAGCTGGGAGGGGTTGCAAGTACTTTGGAAGATAGAATTAAAATTCAGAATTATCTGGACAAACTGGAGAAATGGTCTGAAGTAAATAGGATGAAATTCATTAAGGACAAATGCAAAGTACTCCACTTAGGAAGGAACAATCAGTTGCACACAGACAAAATGGGAAATGACTGCCAAGGAAGGAGTACTGCGGAAAGGGATCTGAGGGTCATAGTGGATCACAAGCTAAATATGACAGGTTTCAGAGTAGCAGCCGTGTTAGTCTGTATCTGCAAAAAGAACAGGGGTACTTGTGGCACCTTAGAGACTAACAATCCTACGATTCTATATCATTTATAGTTAGAATGGAGCAGACCTAGCTATAAGAAAGCGGTTAGAGCAGGACAGCTTGGGACTCAGGACGTCAAGATTTGTTCCAGGTTCTGCCACTGATTCACTGGGCAAACCACTTCATCTCGCTCTGCTGCAGTTTACTCCTCTGACAATTAGGATATTAACTTACCTGCTAGGAGTATTGAGCATGTTACTAGATTCATGGAGGCAGGGCCGGCTCCAGCTTTTCTGCCGCCACAAGCGGCAAAAAAAAAAAAAAAAAAAAGGAGCGGCGGCACTTCAGCGGCAGCTCAATCGCGCCGCTTCTTCTGCGGCACTTCGGCAGCGGATCCTCCCT